TATTTCATAAACTTTCATTCAGGGATTTTTGCATCTACTTTATTACTTCTAACCACATATGAAAAAGTTTCAGCTGTCCTGTGCATATAGCAAGTATGCATTCAATGTGGTACACAAAAATGTAAACATCTCCTATCTACTTTCCCTTACAACTTCCCTTTGTACCACTGTGCTTCCGCCTATAACTAGGGAACGTAAGTTTTCAGCATCAGAACAATTTTGTACTTTTAGAGTTACTTGAACTAAAAAAACCCCACACCTCCTTCTGATATCCCGAATCATGTTTCAGGGGTGACAAGAGTAGAAAAGCAGAGGGCTGTGACCCATCTGACTTTATGGCAAAAACTTTAATTTTTCCTCTGTCCACTTAAAAACATTAGAAAGACCCTTGTCTCTGCTATTCTTTCCAAAGAAAAAGAAACATCCCACCAAAGAAACAAAGTAGTAGAGGTTTTCCACAAGAGCCTTACTCATCTTTCAGAGTAATGTAACTAAGGAGATTTTGGAAACCCATTTATTTATTTATGTATGTGCTGTTCACAAACAGTCACACATACACACCCACCAAACTAACTACTTTTTCTTTCAGTTTCACAAAGCCCCCTCTTGGAACATTTCTGATATCAAAATTAAGTAAACACCTTAAAAAACAGGGAGGTATTTTCTAATAATCTATACATAGGTTTTCTTTCTTTTTAAAATTAATTCAGAAGAAGGTGAAATAAATCATTTTCAAACATGTCAGGCTTTGCTTATGAACCAGGACTCTGCCAAAGAAAAAGGAATCCCTTTAGCAATCCAGGTTACAATAAAGGCTCCTTTAATAGCTGTACCAGTATAACAGAGTAAGATCGAGGCTGGAACAAACTGCTAAAAGTATGAATTTCAAAAAACACATCTCATGAAAATATTCTTGAAAATATCTTAATCTCCATTAAAAGGATACCTCTATGAAGCTCAGTGTTAATATCTGAAATGTGCATTTTAATTTTCACTTAGAAGGTCAAGATTAAAATTCATGGGGAGAAACCGAGAGCTATTACAGGAAAGATGAGTATATCTAGTGGTCAGAAGAGAAAAGAAATATTCCATGTTGCACTTTGACACATTTTTGCATCCATTTGTTTAAGAGTGCTTGCTGCTTTTGATACCAAGATCAAAAGTGCCAGTATAACCTATCAGTCCACTGGATATACAAAATGGGTATAGTCCAATGTCAAATCAATCTAGACTGAAAATCAGGTGTGTAATTACTAAGGTCAGTCAAGTCTGAAATAGCTTTCCTATTATAGCAGAGGTAATAACAATATACAACTGATTATTTTTATATTAGAGCTGAATAAATTTACAAAAGCCCCTATCTAACAATGCCTAGATCGTTCCTTGAAATTAATCAATCAATAAAAAGTTTCGAGAGAAGAAAGGATATGCAAAGGAGAGAGCAGGAAAAAAACACAGCTACTTCTGTGAGCACGTGGAAGAAAAATAGAGACACAGAGGTGGCTCTTAAAAATCAGTCATCTGTTTAACGTTGCTGAAAGTAAATAAAAAAGAGAAATGACACCATGGCTTCATAATCAAAGTAAGTCAGTATTGACAGAAAAAAAAAAAAGCACCTACCACCCTTACTGTCATTTGCTACCTTCACCACAAGTGGGATAAGCCAATCAAACACACAGGGTAGCTTCTTTTAGCAGTAGTGCCTTCTTCTATTAACTTGCTGATGACAAAACCATGACCCAGATAAGCGCATCACCTATCGCAATTTACGTGACCGTATCAGGACTGCAGGCAGGCCCTTCTCTCCATCAACACACTTCGTCCTCCTCTGGATTGGACAACGTCCATATGACCAGGCAAGGGAGCTGGTTCAGGATGTCATTCTAACCAAAAAGTAACTCGGGGAGGAAAAAAAAAGAAATAGAGGCACTAGTTTTTGAGCAGATTAGTTCTTTTAACTCACTTCCTGGCTGTGGAAGTCCCATTGACGACACAAGGAAAGGAGCAGCCACAACTCAGATTGTCTTCAAATGCTGGGGAGTACACACGAGAAACTTGGTTTCCACAGAATGTCACGTTATGCCCTCGATCTTTTTGCAGTGCCCTTACTAACATTACCAAATCTTAATCTGTGAATCACTTTTTAAAGGACTGAATGCTGTTTTTAACCAAGCTACACATTTCACTGTAACCATCAAAGAAAACACTGCAGAGTACTTTCAATAACACTCCAATTTAGCTTCAGTTTTTACAACACTGGAGTCAATTTGTGCGTACTGTGTGTAACTATATTTGTAGTCCCTTCAAGTTTAAACTGCAAACTAACCTCTTAATTAGTATCATTAATACCATATAACCCACATAAACAAACAGTATTGGCTACAATCCTACTTAAAACCTAGACACAGACAAAACCTGCAGAACTAATCTTATACTTCCAGTAAACGTTCAAAAGATCTGGAGTGTGAGTCAGTCTGACAGGCACTCAGGATTTTGGCCTAGATCACAGAGATTCAATCAAATAAAGCCAACGTACCTTTCCTGAATTTAAAGGGATAAAAAAATGTTGCCTGTAACATCACCAAGATCTCTCCTTTAAGACAGAAGAGAGTCGCCCTTCTCCAAAGTTTTATTTGAAAAGTCACCGACATGGTTGTGAGACTACAGCTTGACAGGGAAAGAGAAAAGCAATGCTTACCTAAGCAAGCTATTTCTTACTTGTTGCTGGATTTGTTTCTGTTTTGAAGAAGAGTTGACACTTTAAATATTTTTTTTTCCCTTCTTACACAAAAGAATGGATGTATACAGACATGCAGCTATGAAATGTGGTAAGACATGATTTACAAACTATAAAAACCAAGCAATCTTAACACAGCTCTGAAAGAATGACAGCAAGAGCAAAGTACGAGCCACACTTCAGCAACTTACAAACGAGCAGAGCTGCCAAGTCCGTTTCATTCTGAGTGCCATACCCACTTCAGATGGTTTCAGCAGGTTTTGAAGTGCTCTATCTAAAAAGTCAAGGATTTTTGTACCAGATCACAGTTAGGGAGGGCCTAACTGTGGAAAGGGGCTTGAAAAAATACATTTCAAAAAGTAAAATAAAAAAAAAAAAAAAAAACACGCACACACTAGGAAAAAAAAAAAAAAAAAAAAAAGATGGATGAATTTGAGCCATGTAGCCGGCACAGATTTAGGACAGTAGTTTGCTAGTTTTGGCTCTTGGGAAGTGACTTCACTTTTCCCAAGGAGGAGGTGGAGGAAGGGAGATGAACGCTTCCACAACCCTCTCTCGTCCCCCGCCACGAAAACAACTTTGTTTTTTAAATCCCCCACTTTCCTCAGGCTCCGCTGCTCCCGAAGCAGCGCTACCCCAGCGCCCCGCCGCGCGCACGGAACTGCCCCCCTCCACGCAAACGTCAGAAAACACGAAGAAGCGGCACCATCCCCCGCCCCAGCCCTGCACCTCATGCCTCCTCCTCCTCCTCCTCCTCCTCCCTCCGCCACCGCCGCCGTTCCGGGGGCCCGGGGCCGCGCAGCTCGGCCGGGCCCGCCGGAGGAGCGCACCTACCTCAGGGCAGCGGGCACTGTCACTCCGCCGCACGGAGCGGAGCAGCGCCTCTCCCCACACACACACGCGTCCCCCCCGCCGCTTCTCCTCAGGGACCGACCACGCTTCCCGCCGCCGCCCCTCAGGAGAGTCCCTCTCACCCCCGCCCCTCTCACCGGTGGCAGCCGGCTCTCTGCGCAGGGCAGGGGGGGGGGGCCGGCCGAGAAGGGCTCGGTCGGGCCGCGCAGCCGCCTCAGGGCCGGGCCAGCGCCGGCCACATTCCGGCGGCGGGTGGATGGCGGAGAGGCGGGCGGGGGCGCGCGCGCGCACCGCTCCCCCCCTCCTCTCCCCCCCCCTCCCTGGGGGCGGGGCGGGGCGGGGCGGGGCGGCCGTTCCGCCCCCAGTCCGGTCGCTGGGGCCGCTCCGGTCCCCACGGGAGAACCGAGGCGGATGGCCGAGAGGAACCGGGGGTGCGAGCTGCCCCGAGCGGGGCCGCCTGCGCCGCCTCCGGGCCCGCGGACGGGCCCCCGGGCTCGGCTGCGCCTCGGCGGGGGGTCCGCCCGCGCTGGAAACGGCTCCTCACCGACCAGCCTGCGGGCAGAAGGGCCGGCGACTAAACGTTACCCAAATTCGTGACTGTAACTGCAGAACAATGGAAGTGACCTACGCATCGTGGTACTCCTTAAAAAAACAAACCAAACCAAAACAAAACAAACTTTTTTAAGCTTGCCCTTTTATTTTGTACCCCAGTCTCACTACGGGGCGGATTGTGTTTGCTTATCAACGCTGGTTTTGTATGGTTAAACAAATATTTTATATTTAAATAGTAAATATATGTGTATGTTTAAGTAAATATTGGCATTGTTTATGTTTAAATAAAATGCGTTTAAATAACGAAACGTTGTCCTGTTGGTTTCTTTTTTTTGTCTTGTGTGTGAAACAAATTACATTTAAATTAACCACAAAATTTATACAGCTTGCCTGTGTTCTTTCCATTTCAGATGTGGATCAGCAAAACCTTAAGGAATGTCAGACCACAGCCTTAAGTAAAGTAACTGTGTTGTGTGAAAGGCTGTGTCCTGTCACCCTGGGACAGCCGGATTCCACGCGTGGGCACCTCAGTGTCGGTTGTTTTCTCGTCATGGGGGTGGCGAGCTGGGCACGCTGCGCTCCTCACGACGACGACAGCGGGACAGCAGGTCTGCTCCCACAGCTCATGTCCCAGGGACACGGGTAGCAAAAGGCCAGGAGGCTGGCTGCAGCGCTTCGAGCCTCCTTCTCCCGTGGCCGTTACCCGCTACAGGTTTTGTAGCAGCAAAACCACAGAAGTCTGATTTCGGAGATCTTTTTGATGCGCCGTCAGAACACGGCTACTGAAAAAGTTGATACGTCCAAGCGCTTAATTTTCCTCAGTGCTCGTTTGTATGCTGTAAGAAAAGCAAATACTGAATATGCAAACGGGCAGAGAGATGGTTTATTTGTTACACGGTCTTTTTGCATTGTAATGCTGTAACAAACCAGTCCCAAAGCTGGCAAGGCGAGCAGACAAAGGAGAGCATTTCCCTGAGAAAAGAAAGGCAGGACTATTTAGCCAGTTGCATGCTAGAGCAGTCCCCCACGTTGTTGTTGTTACTATAACACATCATTCGTAGCTGTCTGCAGCTGGAATAAATTAAATTATCTTCAGATTATTTTTATCACACCACAGGGTTCAGATAAAACCACAAAAGTGTGGGGAAAGAAGAAAAATTAAGGGGGAGGAGGGGAACTATTTACTGAATATTACAATAGGGGAATAATAAGAAAGAAATTCCCCTGGCATTGTACTCAGATGCTGCAAGCTTTTGTAAGAATATGAGTAATAAACAGGAGGAACTGAAAGTCATTATATTCATAACCAAAATTATGAATAAATTGTCATAACTGGTTATTGCTATGGAAATGTAGAGTTTGTTCTGGAAGCATAAATAGGAGAAAAGGAACATAAGGTACAGAGCTAGTGAAAATATTTGGATAATGGAAAAAAGGAAGGGAAAATAACACTGTCACAACAAAGACCCATTAGCAACCCACAAATGAAAAAGATCAAATGTATGGTACTTAAATTTGAATAAAATCATCCAAAGCATAGGAACTGGTGATAATGAGACTTGCAATAGCAAGATATCTACTCAGAAAGGAATTTGGGAGACTATGTGAGTGATGGTGGTCATTAAGGAAGTTAATGACTCTTCGAAAGTGAAGGAAGGAAAAATCAAACCAACAGACTTGAAGAAATTAAGTTTCAGTAAACTCACAGTTTGAATGCCAAACACCACTGCAGCAAATCTAAGGAAATACACTGTGGAAAGTTTTCCATTTCCTATAGAATCAACATGAAGGCCACAAACAGACCACTGCAATGAGAAAGAAAGCTAGCAAGAGAAGAGTCTGGCTACATCTAAACCATTCCAATAGCTTGCACCTTTTGAAAAAAAGCAGAATCTAGGTTAAATTAGTAAAATTGACAATGAAGTCACTATTGTAATATGTAGGGAAGATCCAGAAAGGTTAACATACCAAAGAAGCTAAAACTATCACAGAGTCATAGAGCATAACAAGCAGCTTACATGAAGAGTACCGGGGAAGAGCCAACTTGCTCTCAGGTGGGTGAGGAAACTATTATCAAGTCACGTGAGGAAGACCAAAGCCTTGGGGTTTTTTTGCTTTCTTCTTCTCCAAAATGTCAGCTGTAACCAGATGGCTTACACAGTTAACATCAGCAACGTAAAGCTATTAGCAACTACCTTCAAGAACTCCGAAAAGATCACTGGTGTGGGTTCCAGGAGACCAGGAAGCAGGAAACGGTGCCTACCTTAAAAAAGAAAGAAAAGGATGGGAACCAGAGTCCAGTCAGCTGTACTTTGTATCAGGCAAAACACTGGAACAAATTATTAAGCAAATGATTTGTAAGGCCTTGGATGATAAGATTAATAACAATCAACAACAACAGCTCAAAACCAAACCATGGAATCTTGACTTCAGCAAGGCTTCTGACACTGCAACACCTAATACTCTCCTAAGAAGGATAGAGCAGCATTGGCTACGTGAAACTTATGTGAAATGGTTAGAAAACAGCACCCAGAGGTAGTGTCAATCAAATAAGAAGTTGGTAGTAAATGAGATCTCCAGATGCTTACTTCCTGAGTCCTGAACTGCTTCAGTGGTGCAATAGGATAGGAAATATTTTTAATGTATTTGTGGAGGATATCCTGTTCAGGTAAGAGCTGCAAGCATTTTGGAAGATACAATTAGAATTAAACAAATCACGATGAGTTGGAACAAAGATCTGAAGTAAATAGGATGTAATTCAATAAGGTGAGAAAACTATTACGTATAGCTGGGAATAACTGACTGCAAAAATGTAAGCTGGAGACAAACTGACTAAGCAGTTACTTTACAGGAGTCTTGGTTCAGAGCAGCTCACAAATAGAAAATGAGTCGACAGTGATTTCGTGTTGTGAAAAATGTGATTGTTTTACTGAAACGTTAAAGAAGATTGTCAAACACAAGAGCAGCATAATAATTCTTCCACTCCACTGAGCTCAAAAAGACTTCAGGTGAAGAACAGTTCTCAGTTTTGGGAACCACCTTTCAATTAGAGACATCTCTCTGAAGAATGTAAAGAACTACCAGAAGTCTGAGCAACTTGACCTTGAGTCATACTCAAGTATGGCTGAAAGAAGTGCAGTAAGACATCTGAAAAGACAAAGACATGTGAATGTACAGACTATGAGAATTCGGCTGAGAGTCTGGTCATTTCTAGTATGAGAATTTGTGTAAAGAAAGCAGTCCGTATGTATACAAGACAACTGAATGCACATACCAGCCCATCTGTTTGATATTGGAAATAATTTTTTCCTGTATAATGAACTCTCAAGCTGAAACACTTAATAAGACTTTCTTTTTTAGCATACTTAAATCCTCGTATCCTTAATATCCTGTGAGGTGTAATAAAAATCCTGAAGATTTAAAACATCCATACGTTGAGAAAGAGAAAAAAAAAATTAAAAATCACTTCTTTTAAAATCTACCCAGAAAAAAAAATCAATGCCAGGCCTCTGCTGCATTATCCACTAAGGGCAGCTGAAGCGTAATATTGCTGGACAGATGGTGATAAAGGAATCCAGTTGCGCACTTAATTGGAGCTATACAGTCCATGTGTATTAATTTCCACAACCTGACCTCTACAGAGCTCACCTATAAATATTTGTCTTGATAGAGGGAATTCCATTTAACCTTCTCTGAAGGATAATGGAAAGCCAAGGTCGTGGCGTGTGCTCTGAATGGGCATCTCCCGCAACCAGTCCTTCTGCCACTGCCAGAGACGTGCCTGTGTCAGGCACCGGGGAGCTACGGGGTCTGTCTCTGGAGCTCTGAAAACAAGCCTGAAGAAGAATTGCCTATTTAGGAGGTAATTAAGCCTATCCCCAGACACAACAGGGAGAAAATATACAGTTCAGAATAAAAGCACCAGATTTGGGGGCAGGAGGGCTGGGAAAACATATTGACACATCTATTTTAGGATACAATACTGTGCAATTTGTATGGATGGAATGGTCCCAGCAACTTTTTGTATGTTTGTTTCATTCTTGTTAAATTGGAATTTCCAAAATAAAAATGGAACTTTAATGACCATTTATAACTGATTCTGCTGTGGTCTATTTCGCCCGCAACTTAGGCACAAGCATTATCCCAGGGACCTTGCCTCGGATCTTTACAGTATACGTTTGAGCACACAAGCCTGATCTTCCTGCTGGAGTAAATTTTAAAACCCAGAAAAGTGAGTAACTTCTTACAGCTTTAGAACTAATAGCATTGGAAGGAAATACTTAGGCATAGCTCCTGCAGTGATTTTTCTCTAGGGAGGTTTAATATCCTTAAAATCATAGGGCTGGTGCCAAACATCATATGCCAGGAGTAAAATAGAGTCAAATTCCCTTCAACAGGATACGTGAACTTCATGGGAAGCATTTCGCTATTTGGATACTTATTGAGACTTTCTAGATACAAACTGGAGAAGTTCAATGCATTAAAGATGTTCAGTACGTTTCAAATATTCTAATTAAACAGTGACAGAGCCCTAAACAAACACGCTGTCCACATAATCAATACCAGAACATAGATAATCTATTTCATAATGTGGTTGTTAGCTTCCCGTATTTGGTGGTTCAGTAGTACAGAACAGTTTCTGACAGAGCAAATCGATAAGGATCTGACAGTGGTTGCAACTGAAGCGACAGCTTATTTTCAGCAGTATTAAGTGGGAGAGAACACACACAAAATGTTGTTTCTGGAGTTTTTAAGATGAAAATGTGTCCTTTGTCTTAATTTACAGTTATAGACTGAATTTCCAAATTCTTTCACCTTTAGCTGCCTCAAAACCCAGTATTAATCTATGTTACAAAGAATAGTGATCTGCACTACCCACAGTCACTCACAACTGAGATGGAATGGAATTTAGTCCTGGATTTCTAATAAAGAACTAAGAAGTATTTTGACATTTTAATGAGATAGTGTATAAATGCATAACCACACAAATAAATTTTAATTAAAAGTGAGATCATGTCTACCGAGATATAAAAAATTACCAACCTTCTTTTTGTAGAAATCAAACAACTATTTGTTATTTTTACATATTAGTGCTATATTTTAATGAGATTTGTTATGATCTTTTAGCATCTTTCAGATTTACAAATTTAGGGCTTAATTTCCTTGTTACTTTTGCATGATTCATTTAGCAATGCAGTTATTTTTCAGAACAGTAATACCTTATAGACTTAGGATATCATAATAACAGAAATATAAAGACCTATGAGGAATTACTGGAAAAAGATGACTTGTGTAACTTTAATAAAATATTCATCCAGAGAAGCAATAGAAGGGAATGAGATGTCTTGAATGATAAAGAACATTATAACAATTTGGTGAATTAAGACACAATTCAGTAGTTGAGAACCATTTGAAAACTACATCCAGAATGACTCCTGTGGTGTAGAAATGCATAATTCTATAATATAATTTTAATTACAAACGCAAAATCCTTTTTGCTGAGATTCTAAACATCAAAAAAAGAGCAGCAACCCTTCTGTAGCTACACAGTTTTTAGAGCTGTGATCTGTAGTTTGCAAGACGTAGCTGAAGACATCTGCATAACACCATGAACATATAAAATCCTTTTTCTACCTGTCAACATGTCCTGTGCCTGTGTGATGAGAAACAATTTCCCCGTCTCTCAGCAGGCTCAACAGAAGACTTTTCTAGCTGTTAGGTTCCAGATGGGATATAAGGTTTTCTTTCACATTTACATTTCTCCTAATAAATTTATTTTTTTACTGACTTTCAGCCAATTATAACTATGTATGACTAGACATAGGACTGCAAGCATGCAAAGGCATTGTGCTTGTCCTTTCTGTGTGTCAGGAAAGAGTGGCCGCACTGTTTCTGCCCTTCTCAGCCCTGCCCTGTAACATCTGACGAGTGTCAGGCTTCAAATGGCATTGCTAAACTGAGGGGCTCAGCTCAGTAAATGGTCACTAGAATGAAAGGAGCATCCCTTCTTTTTTGGGGTGGGAAGGGGAACAGACTAGGTATCAAGGAAGCTGCCTCCTTCTGACAAATGTGCATTTGATGATTATAATTAGTATTGAGATCAGATTTGATGACAGAATCTAAGTGAAAGGGTCAGTTTTCCACTTTTAAGTATCTCAGGGTAGAATTTTTAACTGAAATGAGGCTAGAAAAATTATGTAATTTTTATGCAAAAGCTGGTAAGGATTATCTTGCTCTTCCATAGACCTGCTGTGCCACATAAACTATCACTTCACTGTGTATGTAATATAAATTCACTTGACAATGTAGGTTTTACAGAGGTCTTATCACTGTGACTTTAATCTTTCTCTTTCTTGTGTACGGCATTATGAAAAAGCAACAATAGAGTCTAAATCTGTATCAAAATTACCAAACTATTAAACAGAGTGTGGTGGTCAGATCGATTTTCCTTATATATTTTGCGACTGTTTTATGTGTTATAAATAGTGCACAACTTAACATCAGAGGTGCTCACTGACATGCTGTAGGCAATTATCTATCAGTCAATTAATGTAAACTATAATTGTGCTTTCCTTGAGTTGCTCAGGTGACTATAGCTCTCTCAAAAAACAAAGTAAAATCTTATTTCCTGCCACTTACGTAGTTCCAATGCTTACATTTCATGCTGCCGAGTTAGAAGATCTTTATCTTCTTTTACCTGTAAGAAACAAAATTACATAAGTGCAAAAACATGTGACAGGAAATGCTACCATCCCATCACCAAGTGCTTTGATGTTCATATACATACACTAAGTATATCTATACATATTTATATATGTATATATACAGCCATACCCACATAAATACTGTGTGTATTGCACACATTCTCTGAATTATCTAGAACTGTTCTGTTGCTACATCGATACCCATCTGCCTTTAAAGCCAGGTGTCCATAAATCCACGTGCTGACCTCCTTCAAAAACCTAAGACATGCCTAAAAGCTACCTGAAAACGCTGCTTCTGAACCTTAACATTCACAAAGCTTCTGTAACTTTAAGCCCTTCTTTGGTAAGATGCAATTGGTGGATTTCATTAGGGAAGCCCTAGAAAGGTGTAAGGACTAAGAAAGGAAGTTGTCGTGGTTTGAAGCTGGTCGTCAGCCAAACCCCACGCAGCCTCCCCCTCCTGGAAATGGGAGAGGCAAAGGGAGACTTGCAGGTTGAGATAAAAAAAGTTTAATAACCGTAATAAAATAAAACAATAATAGAAAATATAAACAAGCAATGCACAGTGCAATTGCTCACCACCCGCTGACCGATACCCAGCCCGTTCCCAGCTAGCGATCCTGAAATACCAGTATCCCACAATCGTAATCCTGGAAGCAGGAGAGAGCCCCTTCCTGGCCATCCCTCCCCTATATAGTGAGCATAATGTTCCATGATATGGAATATTTCACTGGCCGCTTTGGGCCCGGTGCTCTGGCTGTGCTCCCTCCCTGCCTCCTGTGCACCTGCCCACGGGCAGGAGATGGGGAGTTGGAGAGTCCTTGAAGTCTCAGCAACAGCTGAGAACATCAGCGTATTACCAACATTCTTCTCATACCAAATCCCATACTGCATCCAAAACACAGCACTATTCTAGCTACTAAGAAAAATTAACTCTATCCCTGGCCAAACCAGGACAGACATCTATCTTTACATGGTGCAAAAGGCAAGGGGCAAATAAAGCCTTCCCTACAACTCAACAGTGTGTCTATCTATTATGAGAACCCCTGACCTTCAAAGCAACCCTTTCATCTGCAATATCTGAATAAGAGAACTGGAAATTGTGTGAGAAACTGTTTTCTGAGGAAAATATCCATCACTTGGCAGTTGGTAAGATCTGATACCTAAATAGACAGCTGAGCAGCAATGGCTATGGGATTCAAGGTTAACAGAGCACAAATCTCTTTCAGGCTTCAGAGAGAAGTTGAAAAATGAAGAGCAACCAAGCAGTTCTAGTCTGATGAAACAGTAGATTCCTGTGACAGAGGACTTCCAAAAACTTGAGAAGCAATAATTTACTATGCTGTTCTGCAGCTCACCATTTAATAATCACAGAATTACAAAGACTGGTCACAGACTTCAGGCGGAAGCAGTGGATCCAACTCAATCTTCTTTCCATCTTTACTGCTGAGAAAGGTTAGTGATACCAAAAATGGTCCCTCCCACTGAGGAGGCAAGTTACCCTTTTGTGTACTTTTACCCAAACACAATGCCCTAGAATAAAGGAGTGCAGAGCCCCTTCTAGAGGTACTGGTTGTACAAGCTGTGCCTGGGCCCAACCAGCATTTTAATAATCTAAGAAGTTGTAAAATACACCAGGGTTATATTCTTATCTCTTGCTACTAAACTTACATGGGTGGATAACTCAGTTCCAGAGAGTTGCATTGGTCTTCCGGATCGTATTCCACAGTTCTGTTGTTTGTTGAGGTCTTTGCCAAGATTCATGAAGGCTAAAGGTAGTGTGTGCAAGACACGGTTATTTATTTGGCTGTGGCATAATTTCCTGGCGCAAACCAATTCTTTAACACTGTCTGGATAGTGCAGCATGCCCAAAATGCCCTGGATGATGTTGCATTTTTGCTATGGGATTCAGGCATTGCTTTGGTAAAATAGGAAGGTTTTTCCATACCTGCTCTCCATATTTCCTGTGAGTCTTTCGGTTGCTTAAATCTTCTGCCACGAGCCAGCTCCTTCAGCAGAAACAGTCAAACACAGCTCTTCAGGAACAAGCAACACCAGGTCAGACTGCTGCACTGCTTGTAAGCCCAGTGGCTCATAGGACGGTCGTGCTGGGCTTCAGCTGGAACATTTGCAATAGCTAGAACATTTGCTATTTGTGCTTTTGCTGGGGTGGGCTGGCTGATGAGTGATAGCTAGTTTCTTTGGCAGTTGTATGGCTTTTAACAGTCCAGTACTTTACTCACAATAAAAGTTATACACTCACACTGCTTCCATAGCTGCCCAGTGGCATGGCATGCTCCAAATCCATACCGAAATTCAGTGTAAATATTTACAGCCTTTTCTTTGAACGACTGGCAAGTCTTTGTTAATGGAATCCATCCTGCTGCTGTGTGCTCAGCTTTGGACTGAGTGGTGAAGCCCCCACTGCTTCATTCACAGGAGTTATGGAGTAATCCGTAGCCCAGTTGCTGTTCAAACAGTACGAGGACCCATCTACACGGAGCACCAGATCAGGATCTAGAAACAGCACATCTGAAATGCAAACGGGAAGGTCTGGGTGTCAGCTACGCAAGAGTCCTTAGAGGTACTGGCTATTAACAAATCATCAGCATATTGTATCAAAATGGATCCATTTTTAAAACACAACATCCTGGAAATCTTTTACTCAAATTCTAGAGAAGATAGCAGGGGTCCCAGGGCAGCCCTGGGGAAGCCTTGTCCATGTCTGCTGTATTTCTCCCTCAAGTAAACGCAAAAAGGTACCCAGGGCCTGGATGAATAGGTACACTGAAAAATGCGGCATATAAATTGATTACAGAGTGTCATTTCGCATTTGCTGGAATAAATGTAGTAGTTGTAGAAGGGTCTGGTACTTCTCAGTGAAGAGATACGACCCACTCCTTTACTGCCTGAAGATCTTGCACAAACCAGTAAACCTGTTGGCTGCCTGGTCCCGGTTTGGATTTTCTGATGGGCAGAACAGGAGTATTACAAGGGGACTGACATTCTACAAGCATTCCCTTTTTTTATACGTGTCTTTCTTAGTGGCACAGCACCAGCTATGGCTTTGGTAGGCAATGGATATTGTTGGATCAAGAGCAAGTTACTGCCTTCATTTTACACTGGTGTGGCTGCTTTGAGCAAGGCCCTGTCCATGGGTCCCATCCCCACAACAAAACTGATATGTCTTTTAACTCTCCCCCAGGAACCACCACCACCCTCTGACCAAAAACTGGGTCACCCCTGGGAACCCCCCCCCCCTCCCCCCGAAGCCTGTGTCCTCCTGGGAATCCACCTGGACCTGCCCAAGCTCCTGGGCCCTACTGGGAGCCCCAGTCCCTGCACGCCTGGGTCCCTTCACTGACCCCCATGTCCCTCCAGGTCTCATTCACCATAAACCTCTTCATGATCATGGCTGGAGCCACGTTCAGCCTGTAGCCACACCACACCTTCAGGGGCAACCTGGGTCCACTGAAGATGGGTTGGGGACAGGGGCGAGCAAGTCCCCGACCCCCTGTCATGTGTCCCCTCTATCTCCACAGCCAACACGTTCCTGCTATTTTTCATCCAGGCTGTGGTCTTCAGTGTGGGGCTGGGACTCTTCTGGCAAAACTAGAGGGGCACAAGGAATCCCAGCCCCTCCATGGGGGACTCAGGCACCTCCCTAATATATTATAAATTGTTATATATGGTTAGAAATTGCTTATTTGTATAAACTATTATGATGTATTTGTACATTATTAGAAAATTAATCTCTGTTTATTACAAAGGGATTTATTGACAGTTGCCATTTATTCTAAATTTCTCTACAGTTTGGTCCTGAGCCCTGCAGTAACTATTTACCCTGTGGCCCCCAGCTCTGCCCCTGGCTTCTGTCCCAGGAGCAGGATTTGCCCACCTCCCAGGCCAGGGAGGGGGCACTTGCCCTCCTCAGCTGCCCCATACAGAGTTCAGGGTGGTTATCTACCCCAGGGCAAGGGAATCTACACATGGGGAAAGGGTGTCTGCCCCTGGAGGTATATCTACTCGGGGGGGGGGGGGGGGGGGTGGTGTTGTTGCAGGCGGATTTACCTCTGGGGGATGAGCATCACCCCTCCTTCCTGCTCACACATTTGCCCCCCAAGCTCCTGATCTGCCCCATGTCCCCACCTGCCCCCAGCCCCACTTGTCCCAGCCTCATGGCAACCCTGGCACTGTCGGCAGGGACCTATGGAGACACCAGCCTCACAAAGCCTGGCCAGAACTGCCCCTCAAACCACTGTTACCCCCTCAGGAGTGCACTTACCCCCAGGATGATTCATTGCCCCAGAGGGGGCATTTCTCCCCCACCAGCCAGGAGGGGGCCACAAACCTAGTACAGATCCCCACCACCTCCAGGCCTGTGGAGGGGGTCTTCCCCAAACCAGAGTTTTGCCCCCCCCCCTCAGGGCCACGATTACCACCCCAGGCCCACTGTTGCCTCCTGCCCCCTCAATGGGGCTGTGGCTGGCGGGGAGGCAGCGCTTGAGCTCTGGGTGACCCTCATGGCTGCTGAAGGGCTGACTGCACCCCGCGCTGAGGGGGAAAAATCTTCTCTTCCCCTTCAGCCAAGTCACAGTGCACTCTTTCAGAGGAGATCACCAAGAGCTGGGAGGACGCAGCCGACAGACGGCTGGAAAAGACTGATGATCACACAGAAGGAAAGCAGAAAGTCAAAATCTCCTCCTAAAGTGCTGATCTTGATTCAGGACAACAGCTTTCCTTCAGGTTCTCCCTCACAGACCTGGACCTTATAGAAGCTATGAACGGTGTGTTTAGTAATCCCAACTCCACCATCAGACGGCCCTTCCCTGTCAAATCCTTGGTGCAAAGGGAGGTGGAGTACATGGAGGCCAGGAAACGCATACTGGGCAGCACGAGCCCCGAAGAGCAACGAGAGAAACCCATTCTAGATCGACCATCAAGGATCTCCCAGCTAGAAGGCACCAGACAGCCCAATCACATGATTGGGCAGACTTGATGACCTTAAGGGTTTTTTCCAACCTAGATGATTCTATGATATGGCTTGTATCTGGTTTTGTTAATTTAGCAGCTAATATTAAAAGGTAGACTGAGGGTCAGATTTTTAGAATTTAGATACTCCTTTAGATTTGTGAGCTTGAGAAGCACAAGACAAAGCCACTTTGTTTCAGTCTTCGCCTCCTGACACTTGCAAGTTGTAGCTCTTACACCTGAGAGATCAGTGAACGAATGTGCTCTCAACTGGTTTTCAATGTTTGACTCACCTATGTAGGGTAGAAACAGTTTTATCTTGTCTATTTAATATGCAAACAAGTGTATATATGCATATGTGCTTCCTGTGGAAGGAACTCTAAGAAGGTGGGTTTTGTGTATGAAAATAGAGGACACTTTTTCTTGTTTGTTTGTTTTCCTCTTTTTTTGCAGAGCAATGCATGTCAGTGGAAACACTGATAAGAGCAGCTGCTGCCTGGGAGAGACAGTGATAAACTGCAACATAAACAACCTTCCAACATCAAATTGTTGAACTGACATTCAACTACAGGCAAGTTGTAAAGACTGAGGATTTTACAAGGAAGACAAATAACTTACTTTGAGTCCTGTTTTTATGTGCAGGTAGCACATGTCTGCCCAGCAGAGTCACCGGAATACCAAAAACACTGGGGACAAATAGACTGGAAATACCAAGGCCTTATGTACAAGAGTGAGAAACTCCCCTAGTGGAACAGGAAGTGTGCTTCTCAAAATATTTTGGTTTTGTTAACAGGCTAAAACTTTTGCCCATACCATAACCTTCCATGTGCCTCAATGACAATGTAATAAATATCCATTAATCTCTGAGAAACTGAAGGTGCTCTTGCTAAAACTAAATTGTATGTCTTACAAATGTATACACAATGTAAGCTCCATCTGTGCTCACAGTATGTTCTGATCCTTTAACTGTTGTTTCTGTAGCAATCGTACCTTACATAGAAAAATAACATAAAAAGTAGTCAACTAGCCAAACCGCAAATACTATCTCGTCCTGTCTGGTAATGAGAGCTAATTCCACTTCTAGATACTATTTTTCATTCAACTTACTGATTCCCTGATGTGAATTTCCTTTTTCTTCTTCTGTAAATGCTGCCTCCTTCATCTGCTGGAATCAAAGAAGAGTGGGCAGCATCACATGGCATGTCAGATTACTATAGCCTTCAATCATCAAATCACCAAGTTTGAAAAAAAATCTTGTTATTTTACTAACAATAAGAGATAGCAACTTTTTACAAAACCTGTGTTCTTTTTAACCGAGTTAAAAATGCATTTAATAGTTGGAATGTTAAATTAAGGTTAGAATTAATGATGTAATTCTTGATGACAATTTAACAAAACCAAGATGAACATACACAACAGGAACAAATTATACTGTACCATTTACAACTTGGGAATTTCTGTGTTCCCTGATGAAACTGAATTGCTAGAATGGTATGTTACAGCTTTTTTACCAGTACAGTAATGAGAGAGAAGAAATTGAGAATACTGTACTGAAAAGAAATTTAGAAGTGAGGGAAGAAATCCTTAGCAAAAACGTAAGGGTTTATGTGTATGAAAAATTGCCTGTCAGAGTAGACATGATATGTAGAATCTAGTAAAAGAATAAAGGAAATTATCATACTGCTATGATCTCAGGAAAATAATCTCAGCCTACCTAAACAAATGTGATATGTTTCCACTGAAAAGAATCTTTTTTGTAAACTGCTTATCAAGCATGTACTGCAGCTACATGTTAGAAAATTGATTTTTGTTTATAGGCCTCATCTCAAAATCCACCGAGGGATGAAATGTAAAAATGTCCCTCTGCAATTGCCTCAACAATATACTTTTTTAAAACTGGCAGAATTGAGATCTGAGTAAGTAGTAGCTACTTGAAATCCACGCTAACATAAAAACATCTAAACTTACTTTATGCAGTTATTCATACTTCAGGATTAGCTAAGGTTTACGTGGTCCTTTATTTTCCTGTGGGAATTGATAGTCCCATTTGTTGGAAGATGCACAAGGCAAGTCTTGCATCAGGTGTTCTCAAGCCAAACTAGTACAAACCTTTGAATCTTTATGGGTGATACTAAGCAAGAATAACTCCTGGAAATCATGGGGTTTTTTACTGCAGAAATGTGATGTGACTAAAGAGATGTAAGGCAGTTCTACTTTTGACTTGTAGTAAGAGTGCTCTACCTGGGAAATTTGATTGGAAAAATTACTCAGCTAGCAGTTTAGTCATAATGTAACTTGCACAAGTGTTGAGGATGTGTAAGGTCTAGTGGTTAGAACAGGAGACCAGGCCATGGGGTTTATTCCTCATCTTGCCACTGCTTGCTATGTGAAGCTGAAAACTTGCTTAACCTCTACAATTTAGCTTCCTCTGCAAAGTGAGAGTAAGGCTGTGGTTTTACATGCAGCTAAACAAAGGTACTGACTTGCTGTAGAAAACCCGTTCTGACTGTATCGCTCTACCTGTCTTTCATTTTCCCTCAGTTTTATAGTACATGAAGAAATCTACCAGAAAGGAACAAAAATTACATTGCTAATTTAGGTGGTTCTTGGTTTTATACATAAGCACGAGCTGGAATTCATATAAAATGTAATTCTGTTAATTCTTTATCGTTTCAACTCATACATTACTATCCTAAGCTCAGTAAAAGGCTGTTGTAAGATGTGATGCAACACCATTATGAAGGAAAAGAACAAATTTCAACATAGGTACCACTGGAGGAAGGAAAGGAAACAAAGGGTCATACTTCTGCTTTTTGTTGAGATAGAAGAGGATGTAAATCAAGGAACTGAAGTGCAGGATAAAGAGGTGGCAGCATATGACACCTGGCAGAGGCTCCTGACCCTCCCCGTAGGGGGATTCAGAAGCCACACAGATGGCTATTTCGGCAGAGGGCACCAGAACAACAAGTATGTAGTACTGACTTGGCCCTGCTCTGCCCAGCAAACATTAAATCTGATATCCTCACAGCCTCCCAAGTGGGTCTCCATTCTTGTCACACTGCAAGTTCTTGTACTTTATAATGCTCCAAAATTTTGTCGTCTTAGGGAGAGATGTTGATGAATGACACTGGAAGGTCTGGGATTTAAGCAAACCAGGCAATTACATGTAAGCAGAATGGCTGTTAAGGAATACCATGAGAATCTGTGGCACATACTACTAAGTCAGCATACTGTATCTCTAAATGTCAGTGGAACCAAGAAGATAATGAGCTGAGGCAGTCAGGTGAAACTTCAAATGAGAAGTCATCAAAGGGAAGTTTCTTACCTTCCTTATAATTTCTTTGCTTTTCACAACAACTGAAGCCACAAGGTGTAATTATATAGACTTTTTTGCACTTCTAGTAGCGTGAAAACACACACGTTAATAATTGCACTGATATTCTGCAGATCTGTTACTGATAGCATCAAAGACCTCCAAAGACTTTTACAAAATTTTAAACAAATCTGATAATGATTGGTGGGTTATATAGTACTTTTTGCTTGTGCAAACTGAATGGCTGAGAAGCATTCATGGAAGAACATTAATTTTACACTTATGCCCTTCACAGTCCTTTACAACATTCAGGTTTCTGTTGTATAAAGGAAATCTAAACTTTACATGTTATGGCCAAGATACTGAGCATGTCCTTCCATAGTGGAAGGTGCTATTTTGCTATCATCTTGTTATTATTCTAAAATAAGCTAAGATAGCTAGTTCTAAAAATTGCATCTCAATTATGTGGGCTTGGACGATATTCAGCCTACTCCTTAATGAGTATTGGGGTTTTTTGCAATGATTATGTTGGGTGAATATGGTTTAGACTTCTACTTTTGTCAGTAGAATTTTATAAAAGTGCAGGAATTTTAGGTTTTGTTAACTTGATGGTCAAGCACACAAGAGGGCTAAAGATTTTCTTCTTTGTTATCTTTTGGTTTATATGATATATGCAAGAATGTTGGTTGTGTGAAGTAACAGGGACATTTTTTTAAATGCTTGCAGCTAGTTGGAAAAATATTTAATTCTTGCCTTTCATTCTAGTAAGACAGGTTTCAAAATGAGAAATTTTCCATTATTATCAGCTTTACAGGTCACGTAGATAACTAAAAATAGCAAACTGAAACATCGCCAACACATTAAAAAAAGATTTAATTTTATGGAGACAGCTATTCCGTTACCACAGTTTTATACGAGTTTTATATAGAAAGAATAATATAAAAATTGAATCATCAGACAATACCATTTGACAGTTCCACTGACATTTCACCTATTTTTCTCAGTTGTACAGGCTAATATAGGGATTAATTTCTAGTGCATAATCTGAAGAACATTACTAGGTTGTCCACAAATGTAAAATACTAGAAACATGCCTAAACATTATCCCCTTTAGGAAGGAAAAAAAAAGAAAAAGGAGAAATGGGAAATTGAGATATGTTGTAAAATCAAAACTAATTTATGTGGGTTTTTAAAAACATAAAAGAAAGAACAATGTGAATAACTGGAGATAAATTACAGCAGATGTAATAAGAAGCTGAAATGAGATATGAAAACTGTAATCCTGAAAGCAAATACTGTCTTTTGTTTCATATGCTAAAGCAGTGTGTCATGCAGGAAGAAATGCTGGATAACTGGAGAAAGCAGACATTAAAAATAATCTAGTTACCCAGTGGGATCAGTTCCCAAAGAGAGCAAGCTCATCTGCAAATTTCTGAACCTTTAAAATCCAGAATAAAGACTAGTCATTATAAAAGTTTTACTCAGATGTAGCTCTAAAATGGGCTTTGCGATTTAGAGTACTCATCCTTGAAATGTTACTTTGTAAGAACCGCAAGTAATTTCAAATCCCACTTCTTTAAATTTAAACAACGCAGTTCTGCGGTAAAGCTACATTGTAATACTGCAAATTGTTGTTAGCCTGTGAATACTGGTAACAGAATTTAGTAAGTGGTAACAGAATTAAATGCTGAGGGAAAACATAAACTACTTGAAAATGAAAACCTTTCAACAATATAGCAACCATATATAGGAATCAAGTATAAGAAGTGGTAAGAAGTCTCCAGATTGTAGTATTAAAAACCAGACTGAACAAAACACCAGAATGATGTATTGTGTATAATCACCTGCTTTAAACGTGGAAGTATGAGGATGTCTTCAGGCCTTGACCATTTCTAGTTTCTGTGACTTTAAACAAAGGTTGCAGAGAACACACACCCTTTTAGCTCCTAGTGCTGCCTTCTGCATCTGAACAGGATACTAACATCATCAATGAGGTTCACATTTCTAGTGAAACATTTGGGAGAGGAGTCTGAAAAAGATGACAATTGCTGATTGAAAACTTTCTGTGGTACATACAGTTTTAAATTAGAATAATAGGATTAAGAAGATAATTACATTGATCTAGAATAACATGCAGAGATACTACTTAGTAGTTAATTTCCAAGAGGGAGGAATAATTAGATAGGAGTATAATAATTCAGATTTTTTTTTTTAACTAACTATGCTGCAATTTGCCAATTGGTTATGTGAAATATTGTGCTTCAGGACAAGGACTCTTACATAATTTATACAGTCATTAAGAACAAGTGGCATCAATGTTTCATTGGGGCATTGTAGGAAGTATTACAATGCCAATGATAAAGATACAATAATGTACTAATCTGTGATCATCCCAGACTTCTGAATCTGGCTATGATACTCTTGATTAAATCATTCAGATATTTTATTATGTAATGATGGTACTAAGGATTCTGATGATTTCTGTTTGTAGACTTCTAAAACTTTATTGTTAATCTCCTTGAAATAACAATAAAACAGTGAGAATGCTGAAGATTCACACTTCCATGTTAAACTTCCCAATTTACACTACTTTTGTAACTCACAGTAAGTTAAATTTGGTCTTTGTAAAGATCTTAGCCTTCTGTGTTCATACGATCCCAAATGCCTGTGAATATGACAAGAAAACCCTGTTTTCAGAAATTCGTTTAATAGCTCGTTTTAATATTATTCAAGCACTAATCCTTGATAAGCATAAATTGTTTTGGTAGAAAAGACTAAATAATAGATACAATTTCTATAGTAAAACTGAGCAAAACAATACATTTAGCTGCTATCGCATTTCTTAACATGGAAATCTGTCTGCAATCAATACAAGAGTCGGAAATAGGAGCTGAAAATTAAATTCTCCCTATGCAGACTTTCCCTCATGTCCAGGAATGCAGCTCTGTTACTTGTTTCCATGTTTCTGTCTGCATGTCACAACCCAGCTTCGTTTTGCACGGTGCTGTCTCAAGACCCTGGCTCTGGGCCTGGTTATTTCTGACCTGACACTGCCCTGTTTTAACGGTGTGTCAAGGTCATGTAGTCCTCTGCAGTTGGGATTTGAACTGCTAATACAGTCCATATTCCTTATAAAGTGTTTAGAAATCCAGTGATTCCACGTGCAGCGTTTTGCACAATGACCTCACACCAGCACTGATCCCACACAGCCTCCAGCTGGCCATGTACATAATAAAAGATCTGGGGAACAGGATGGGACCACCAAATCCTATTAGTGTTGTTAAATTTATAAATAAATTTAATACAAAGCCCTTAGTAACTTACAGCATAGTTCATATTTTCACAAAATGAGAATCAATCCGATGCTACCTTGAAATATCCTGATGGTAATTAGTTCTCAAAACACTTTATCAGTATGTACTAACTAAATGCAGCAAGTCACCATGAACACCGTAAGATATTTCATAACTTCGTTTCAAAATTTCTCCAGTAGCCCAACTGTAGTTCAGATACTGTGTGATACAGGAAGGCTTGGCGGGGCCCCAACGCATCTTACCTGTGGTGCTGGCTGAGGCCGAGGATTAATTAAATGTGTTCTGCAGGCAAAGAAAGGTACAGAGGCCCTTCTCCAGAAGCAAGCCCAGCTCTGCGCCTTCCCACGGGCCTGGCAGGCAAGACAACAGGGCCTTTGCCCTGCACAGCGCGCCTGGATGCAGAACAGCATTCATGGCTTTTTCCCTCTGAGTAAGAAAACAAAACAGATCCCAAGCTTTAAGCCTCGATGGCATGAGGCCACCACAGTGGGGAAGAAGAGGGGACCCGCATCGTACCCACCACCAGAGGAAGCTTCCCCCCCGCTACTGTGGCGCTGAGAGAAAATGGCGGGCAAGGGGCTTTGGGAGGGCTCCGAACACGCAGAGCTCCTCATGCTACACTTCGCCTAGAAAGAGACACGACCCCGTAGCTCCGCTGCACCCACAGTAATCGCTGGCAGGAAGAAGACGAGGTAAAAAGAGCGAGAGGAAAAAAAAAAAAAAAAAAAAAAAAAAAAAAAAAGCTGAAAGGGAAAGCAGGGTAATGGGGAACACACACCAGCCCTGCCAGGAACCCAGGCCGCCCAGCCCAAAGGACTCTCCAAGCACCCTCAGCCCCCCCCGTTCTCCCACACCTCCAGCCCGTGACTCGGCTCTTTTCCCCCAGTCCCGCCCCACCTGCCCGAGGGGCGGGCGCAGGAAGGGGCGGTCGGCAGCGGCGAGGCGGTGCGGGCAGGGAAGGGAAGGGAAGGGAAGGAGGCGGTGGTGAGGGGAGGTAGCCGGTGCACAAGATGGCCGCCGCTGCTGCGGCGGCGGTGGTGGTGGCGGCGGCGGCGGTGGAGGGGCGGCGGGTGGCGGCGGCGGCGGCGGCGGCAGCAGCCGCGGAGGCGGGGGGACCCCGGGGCGAGGAGAAGCAGCAGAGCGCTGCGGCCGCCCCCGTGTGCCGTAGCTGAGGGGGGTCGGTGGCCGCTGCGGGGAGCCCGGCCCTTGTGGTGAGTACATTGTCTTCTCTGCAGCCCCGCTGCTGGGCTCGGCTGCGGGGAGCGGGAGAGCCTGGGGAACAACGAGGTTGGCCTCTGGGGCGCTCGGCGGGACCGGGAGGGCTCTGCCCCGCTTGCCGGAGGAAGGAGGCGGAGGGGTGGGCGCTGCGCTTGCCCCTGGGGTTTGTACCGCTGCCTGCCTCACTAGGCCTCAGGTTCCTGCCCGGCTCGATTTCTGAGCGCCCCGGGCGTGGAGGGAGGGAGCCGCGGAGGCCGCCGTCCCCGGTGCGGGGGAGGCGGAGGGAGGGCTCAGCGGTTGGGTCTGGCCTGGCGGGGGGGGGGGTGTGGGGGGTGGGGAGAGGCGGCATCGCCTCAGGCTACGGCGGCGAAGGGACAGGCGGCTTTTGTGTGTGGTCTGCGTCTGCTGGGGTTTTTTTTCAGGGGTTCTGCGTGCCTAGAAAGAAGAGAAAACTCATCCCCGTGTCGCACTCGGCACAGCTAAACGAGCAGCAGTAGGGGTGGGTAATAAGGCCAGAGCCCCCCTCATGCCGCTGTGGAGAGGGGGGGACACGGACACCTCCCCCTCTTCCCCGGGTTGTCGCTCTTTTGTCTGTGGCGCCTGAGGGAAGAGCGAGGTGGCCCCCGGCCTCCCTCTGTGTGGGGAGAAACCGTGATAAAGCCAAACAGAAACTCCGCTTACTTTCACTAGTTTTTCACCCTTGGCGTTGTTTTAGCTGTTGGATTAGCGCGGCGGGTATGGGTAAGGTTTCTTGCCGGGAGTGCGGTGTTGGTGTAGCTGCGTTTTAATGTGATTTGGTGGCTGGGAATGTCCTGGTGTCAGTTTTTGTCCTCAAAAGACATTGTGAGGCCTGTGTCGTTTTAAAACGGGGAGCTGATGGGTTTTTATTTCCCTAGGAAATGGGAATGTTTATTTTTTTCTATATGCATGTATGCCTTTTTCCTCAGAGTAGCTCTCATTTTGTTTAATTTCAGTCAAGTATGAATGAAAAATCTTCTGTTCCTCAGGTCATAGCTACTGTTTTCTGTGTGGCTTTACTATATTGAAAATGGCTGAAGTGGGGAAAAAAAATTGCAAGAATGATTAGAAGGTTCGAAGTAACCTAGGCTGTTTTGGAGCCACTTTAATCATTGTAACTGGTTTAGCAATACTATCTTCTAATGACTACTTGGAAGAGAAATGCAGTTGTTAAATTCTGCCTTTGTACTCTATTTGTGTCATATAGCTATAGAGCAATACTATGAAGAAGAAATTAATGTGTTCCTAAACTTACCTTTTTTTTACTCCCTTCAGGCTTATAAGGTGTTAATTTTATCAACTAGAAGTGTCTGTATTTCTGTGTTTGAAGTCAGTGAAGCTAATAAGAGACTTCATAATTGTATAAACAACAGTTCTAGGAGGAGTATGTACCTTATTGATGGTTCCAAAGCTTCACCAGTAGCACCATGGCTTTCTTCATTAATATACAATGTTGATAGGAAATTATGTCTTCCACTAATATAAATAGAAGCAGGCATTATCAGTTAGGCACCTTTTTCTTTTCCTCACAATAGCTTATCGCTTTACCTTCCTGTCCTAGAAAAGGTTCTGTCAAAGCAGACAGCTTGACAGGCTGCTTTGAGGGAAATTTAGAAATGCAGGTACCATCAGTGCAGTCTGTTTTGACAACCAGAGACTTGAGTGGTGTGCTTGTCAATCATTTTAGAGCAGCAGTAACCTTAATGGAGATGAGTGGGAAGCTATTTGCATGTTTTCTGGTGGTTTTTTTATCAGCTTTGTATCCAAACTAGCTCAAAGCAAATTATTTTAGAAATTTATTATAAGAACATTGTATGCTGACGATTTTAAAAACTAATATTCCCATGAACAGATGAATGTATGAATCCAGAAACTGCATATGTTAATAGGTCAGGGTTTAATTTACATGTATATTATTATATAATAAGTGGTCATGCTAAAGCAGATGAATAGAAATTAACAGGATTGCTTTTGGAAACTTCTGCCATGTTGCCAGTGATTCACCAGCAATCTCTGTGGAAACCATTATCAATCTTGTTAAGTATTACAGAAGCTGAGATTCAGTCAGTATATATATTAAAATATTGTCTTAATTTCTTTATATGTGGTTCAGAGGTCTCAGGTGATGCTGATGGTGGTCACCTTTCATAAAGATTGACATCCCATTTTATTTAGGGTCTATATCTCATAACTAACCAGTGCTGTAAAAGGATGTTTCATGATACTTAGGGAATTGACATTTCCCATTCTGTAATATGTAATAATATGAAGGATAATTGCCTCTTTTTTTTTTTTAATCCACCCAAGAAATCATATGGTTTACATGCTCGATGCTTGGAAAAAATATTTCATCCATTTGAAAGAACTTGTGGAATTATAGCTTTCAAACAGTATGAAGTGTAAAGCTGAACTAGAAGGAAATAACTCACCTGCATTTAACCTCCCAGGTGTCTCAAGCATCTCAAAATAGATATGTGGCAGCCACTATAAGGTACATTTTAAGCAGATGACCCTTTATAAAATTTTTAATTTTTTTGCAAAGCCTGCTCATTGTTTAAAATTCTTTTCCCTGGTGGATTCACTGAATCATTTTGCAGATGAAACCCTGTGTGGTTTTGTAGTGGTTCTTCCTGCACCGAGTAAATCAGGTGGTTGTTTGCTGGAGCATCCCAAGAAGTAATACTGGCCAAAAAATTTATGACTCTAAGTACATGAGAGATAAGCCATCAGGGAATTTGTAGTTTGAAGTTAATGCCTTGGACTATGCTTGGTAATGAATATGAAATTGTTATCATAGAGGAATGTGGAGATAGGATGCTTCTGTTTTGAAAAGATCATTACATAAACATCCTGCACCAGCTGAAATTTCAGTGTGACCTTCAGGATTCTGAGTAGGCTATATTACAGTAATGCAGTCTGAAGTCTATGGACTCATGATAACTGAGAAAAACCACAAATATTTACTTCAGTTGTGCTATTTTCCTTTCTGTACAGAGATATTCCACAGTGCGTGCTGATTTAGGTGCAGTTCCCATCACTTAGTTTGACCACTTGTTTTTCTCAAGAAGTGTCTCTGACGGTTATCTTTTGCATCAGTTTCATTTTCTTGGTTACCAGTACGGCAAAATTTGAAATGATATTACATTTCAAAGGGCTGACTGATTTCTAATGAGGTTTTTTTATTTGTGAAAATGCGTAACAGGCAAGGAGGTGCAGAAGTCCTGTCAGCTTATTTATTGTAAATAGATTTTTCTGATATAAAAAGACTTTCTGGTTAGAGTGCTTGAGGAAATAGCTTTCCTGTTACTGCATGGTAGCAACATGTTGTGTGCTACCAGCTGGAGAAGGAAGGGACTTTTGTGATATAAATATCAAGATTTCTAAATCATTTATTGCAAATTTATGTTGTCATAAGTAGTTCCAGTTGTGTACTGCTCTGTTGGAATTTGTGGAGGACTGTGTTTCATACAAGTGTGATGGATGTCCCTCTGTCTCCACTTTGATATCTATCTAATACAGGGAGAAGAATGGCAGCTACATGTGGTGTAGGGCAACTTTCGGCATGTAGAGATGGTTTACTATATACATCAGAAACATATTGCAGAAATTTTATGTAGGCAGACTTTCAATAATTTGCAGTAGCACTGGCAGAATAACAGTGAGCAAGACTGTTACATTTGAGAAGGTACCTCTTAGCTCTGGCTAAAGCCTGAACTTGGTGTGAGAAAGTTGTTGCATTATGTGGATAAAAAATGGCATATTGTCTAATTAGCAGCATCTTCTGAGCACTGGCCATTGATGTTTAGAAAAATCTAAAGAATTTAACATTAATTCACATTGAAAAAGGAGCCTGGACATCTTTTGCAGACTTTTACATGAAAGCTTCTGCTCAGCATGTTAGGTCTTTTTTAGTGTTGTTTGTTTGTCTGTTTGTTTTCCAAAAAACAAAAGGGAAGGAAAGGGGGGGGCGGGAGGGGAAGGCTCTTGGGAAGCACATGGAGAATAATACCGAAAATCTCTCTTTATCACCTGATTTGTGTGCATTTACCTATTTTGTACAAAGTTAGCTACACTGGCTAAAAAGAGGAATTATTAGGAGCATGGAGAAAAATCTTCATTTGGGAGGTGGAGAGGAGAGGCAAAAGAAGAGGATTTTTTTTTGACAGACAGAAGAATTAAATTTTTCCTGTTTTGCAGTGTAAGAAATGAAGGCTATGCAGTTAAACTGAAAAGTAGTACAAGTGTGGCGGAAGGAAGGAACAGATCTTTCATTTGCTTCACATAGATTGTGGCAGAGGTTGCTATGTAATTTGAGGCAAAGAGTATAGAGGAGTATTTGTCGGACAGGTAATCCTGTGTTAAGGTGTGTCTTGAGTTCAGCATTACAAAAGATGGAGGGTTTATTGACAATTATTTATTCCAACCTTGAAGTCGCTAAAACAGCCATAAGTGACATGTTCTTGTATAGATCCCTCTCACTACAGATTTCTTGCAAAAAGACTTGCAAAACCACTTTTGTTTAATCCTTCACATAAAGCATTATTTCTCAATTGCACAAACATTTGGAGTTTGGAGGGTGCATTTTATGTTAATTGAGACTTCTGTAGCAGGATTGTGTTTAAGCTACAAGAGAACTGAAGAAACAAAGTGTAAAGAAGCTGAAGTAACTGAAATGTGCTAAGTGGGAGAAACTAGATCTTGCAGGTGGTTCCTGATTTCTTTTTTTTTGTTTGTTTGTTTTAACAAGGAAAATCTGGTTTATCTCATCCCTCTACTATGCCAGTTTAATTAGGTGTTCTTAAAATGATCTAATTAACTACTGTTTAAAAGCAGGCTGTTCAGATTGTATGTTAATCTTGGCATTCCAAATGTCATTATTTTTCAGGATGGTTCTCTGTTTATTAGACCCAGTTAGCATAAGATTTGAAGGTTGAGGTATGGTCGGTTTTAGGCCTGTTGTTCGTAATAAAATTCC